CACTACCTTAAGGACCCTAAACTGTGAGAATTATGGCATATTATCAACCGTACTGGTGCCTGCCATAATGACATCTACCTGTTGAGGTAGGATGCTACTGACGTCTGCCTCCCACTCTGCTGCGTGAAAATTCCGAACCCCGAGGTGCTCTGGGAGCGAAGAAGCACAGCCGTTCGAAGCGCCACGAATTGGTTTGGCTCCACGCGTTACTTTGCGAAGAGATTGGGAGTGATACCGGGCAGAAGGCCGCCAAACCCCTGTTCCGGGCATCAAGCTAAATGTAAGACTTCGATCCCCTGCCACCTTGAATTTGAGAACATGCGCAACCCAATCATGAAATAGCTTTCGAAACTGCAGCTCGAGGTGCAAGAGAGATCTATTCTATGTGCAGTAACTGTGGCACTGGGCTTAGGGTTTCATTTAGAGGCTGCAGCTGAGCTTCGCATGAACGCACTCTTCCCATATCCGATTCATTAGTAGGGTTGCACCCTAGTTTCATCACGTCCTGCGTGCGGTTTGTACTTGCACATGCCGAAGTGAATGTCGCACGGCAATGCAGGGCCGTATTGTGCCAGCGTACGTCACCAAACAGTTATAAAACACCACGACGACCATGACGACCTCGGGATCACCACGATCACAACGACCAGGACCAGCATGACCACCACGAGACAATTTTGAGATAAGCTATCGCTGTCCCAAGCGAAATGGGAGTCCCACCCTCGCCTGTCAACGGTTCAGTCGGTCATTCACTTGTGTAAAACTCCACGCACCAACCTGTACCATGCTTGCCTGTTGTTGCCATTCCTCATCGCATGCCCATGTGCTGTCTAGTCATGTTGCATACCTCCAATGTCATTGAGTTTGTCCTTTCCTACTTGCTAATATTAATATCTTGGAGATCTGTTACCTGCGCTAAATCCTAAAAGCCCGTGAAGCTTTGTAGGCCTCTGAAGGGGCGCTGGAGCGCCCAAAGTCTCCGTGGACATCTGTTGGAACCTGCTAAGCGAAGGCAAAATGCAGGGCAGTGTGAAGAGAACAGGTTTTTGGGGGGGAACACCACTCTACTTCTGCATGGCACAAAAAGACACAATCGCAGAGAACCGTGCATTAGGATGAATACATTGTAGAATAGCGGGGTTGATGGCCAATGTCTAGGAGTCTAACAACAGCATCGTCGTGTTGTCGTCTCTACAGCACGCGTGCTGGAACAACTTCTGATTGCAAGCATGCAGAAGGCGTTTGTCAGTGCTGTCTACTCCACCGGACCAACACTTACCACTACTAGACGCATGTTACCCCCGTTTCCTGACCGTTACAGGAGCTTTGAGATGTTCGAAACACTGCGGGTCGCACTCGCTGAGAACACGGAAGTTCTCGAAGGTAGCATCCTCCAGTGGCAAGTCGAGAACACATGGCGCAGCTCGGCTGCAGCACAGCGCTGTGCCTGCTTTGGCGCAGATGTTCTTGTCTTGCCCTCCTGTGGCTCCGTCTCGTTCTTGTCGAAGCAGTCTGATGGCTTGTCCCACCTGCACTGCATATCAAGAAGCTTCCGCAATTAACTCAAACAACATCTGCAACTTCAATGTCCAATGACACCTGGCAGGAAACTCCACAAGAAATCCAGAAAGAAGAGATGGAAGGAGCCACCGAAGCCTAGAAACAGAGTTCACGTGCTAGACAGCCTGCCTGTGCGAGCGGTTGAGGGGCGACCAGGACGAGTCGTTGGAGTCGTTTGCATGGCCACCCATCTCCTCCCCTGCCGAGCTAAGGATCTTTCTCGAAATGTTGACCAGAGCAGGCTTCAAAATAGCAGGGATACTATACCCAAAGCGGGAACCCTTAGCCCTGAATGCTATGACTGTTATGATGCAGGACCCGCCTTGCTCCATGTCCGGAGGAATGGTGACATTCCAGGTGCGGTTGTAAACTTAGCACGACAGAGTCTGAGCAAAGTCAGTCTGCCGATTGCCCGCTATGATGCCAGGCAGGGCAACTGAGGTTTGGGCATACTTCGCGTAGCTTCTCGGTGTAGTGGGTCTCTGCAAGCCTTCTTGCCTCCTCCAGGGCCTGCCAATGCTCTGTGCGATGTTTGGATTTTTTGGAGAAGCTTCGGACAAGTCGAGGGCACGTTGCTGGGCCGATCGAAGTCCACATCCACGATCCCTGTGAGCAAGTATCGTGGACCTGGGCTACAACCGATCGACACATGCAGGGCGCCCAGGCATGGTTCTTAGCATGTCAGGGGCTGGGGAGCCGCGGGACTCCCCTCTTCTTCGCTTCCTACCCCAGGTCGGCCCAAAAGCACATGCATGATCTAGGGCTCAGGCTTTCATTCCCTACGACTTAGATCTCAGCCCCAGTCGCCCAAACCTCACAAGCAACCTCCTTTAGACTTAGACCCCCAACCCATGGAACCCAACCTACGAACTCAATCAACCTCTGAAACCCTGAATTTTTTCTGAGTGGGAGACAGGTGCCCGCATTGCAGTAGGCACCAGCTGGACAGGGCCTGGTTAAAAAATACGAGGGAATCTGCAGAGAATTTGTCTACTGTAGCAGAGCATTAGCCTCTATCGGACAAGGACCTAGTGCCTTAAAGGTTGCCATGGAGCTCAGGAAGGATAGCAAGATGATCTCTCTGAGGACCCCATGCTCCCTAGGAAGCTGGTTGCGATTTTCGTCCTGGCTCTTCTTTGGTTCTGAAGTAAGGGCTGTTGTTCCTAGCAACAGCAGGAGCATGATTAGTTTGTGGGGTGGGCATTCAGAAGCACGGGTTTTAAAACAGTCGAACATCAACTTCCCAACTTCCGTCGCAGACCCGTGCGTGAACAGCGACGGGGCCAGGGCAGAGGGCGTCTGAAGTTCCAGAGCCTCAGATCAGAACGGAGGTTCAGAGGTTCAGAGGTTTACGGTTGGTCCAAAGACCTTCTGACTCCTCAAAAACTCTCAAAACTCAGTCCGGGACTTCTCAATGTAGTGGTGGAGATAGGACCTTGCCTGGTCATCTTTTACTGGCTCAACGGCTGATCGCAGACTGAACTGGAAGAACTTGGCAAAGTTGGTGCTCACTCTCAGGCCGATCTGGCTTGTACTGTTTGACAGGACCAGGATCGGCCAGCAATCCGCAGCTTTGAAACTACGGCTGTGAGGTCCGCAACAAATGCATGAACTCCAATTACACGGAATCTAGACATTTTCAAGGCTGAGGCGTCCGATAGAACTCCATCAAGCGAAGCAGGAAATGATCCCGCCTGGGGATAGAGGATCACCAAATCCTCGCGGAATTCGTCGTCCGTGATATTCAGCAGGGTAAGGCCATCGAATCCTGCACTGGATTCATACATATTGTATGTAGTAATCATGGCAAATCGTACGTACATATGTATGTACTGATATGAGAAGTATATGTACACGTTCCGGTGTCGCTTTCTCCTGGCTTCTGCTGACGGAACTGAAGAAGAGTAAGCACGCTGAAAGCACGGCTGTGGCAGAGGCAACATGCACCCGACTTGCAGATGTGGCAGGGTTGCGGATGATGATGATGAGGATGATGATGATGATGATGACGATGACGATGATGATGATGATGACTTCCGTTATTGCTCGTGTCTGCCAATGTCTTTCTTAACGGTAAGTCTTGATGTTAGGTATCTGGCTAGCTTGTTGAAATTTCATGTTGTTCGCTTGCTGGGATTCATTATTCGCTCTGGCAAAATATCCATGGATCTTGTTCAAGCAGCTTGTCTGGAACGTCAGCTTCTTGATGCAGACTTACTGCGCTGTGCAGTCCATGGCGGCTTCGCCAGCAGCAGTTGGATCCCTGTATCCCAGAAGACACAGCCCGAGGAAGAAGCCCAACCCCACAAGGAAGGCAAGAACACAACCCAGCCCAAAGACACCCGGGGCAAACCAGACTCGCGTCGCTGTGAGCCTTGTACATGCATGCATGCTTGCATGCATACCTACCTACCTACCTGCCTGCCTACCTACCTACCTACCTACCTACCTACTTAGCTAGCTAGCTAGCTAGCTAGCTAGCTACCTACCTACCTACCTACATACTTACATGCATACACATCTTCTCTTTAGTTGTTCAACCGTGGCCTGGCGACTGGAAGTCGATGTCCCGCTCTGCGGCTGTACCTCTTGCCATCCCGAGGCTACAGCAGCAGCTGGTCTGAGGAAGGAACAGCATCTTAGGATTCTAGAAGCTGGGGGAGGGCTGTAGCTTGTATTTCGGCTGCTCCCGTCAACACTCAGGAAATCCCGAAACCCTGCGTCCAACAGCTCTTATGGTCAATGAACCGTACCTCGACCCTGATTTCAATGGCGTGGCACGAAGACGGATTTCGCTGGAAAGCCGGGCAAAGCTTCTCGCAGAGAGCGTGTCCTGACACACGGAAACGCTTGAAGGCCCTGGGCTTCAAACTTCAGGTTCGAGGTCTTCAGGCAGCTTCTGCGCTGTGTATTTGCGTTCTTAAGCTCGCCGTCTGAATTTGGCACAGGGAGTTCTAAGAGAGTTGGTAATTAGCATACAAAGCAATCTTGCGAACTAACGAACTTCGGGATGGACTCCCTGATTTCCTGCATAAAATTATTTATAGCCCCCGTTCGCTCCACTGGATATCCTTTGGGTCGAAAGCCATGCTGGCAGAGGCATGTGGGCAAAGGATGGGCATGGCTTTAGGATTAACACGGGTGCTGCAGACAAGAATGGACACAGCCCGGGACCGCTACTTGAAGAAGCATTCATGCCTCTGCTTATTGAAGCTTCCGCAGTGCCCGGAATGGGCCCCTTGCACCACTATCTTTCGCTAGTATATTCAAAAAACCACAAGATTATGTCGTCTGTGATATGCTATACTATTTACAACAATACCTGGGGTGCGGACGTTTGCCGTTTTGAACTCCGCAGCTATAGTGTCGAAGGATTGCTGCAGCCGCTCCGGCCTTGGTCGTGTGGCACAGTGCCGTAGGGTTACCATGAGGGCTCTATACGGGAACTTTTCGCGGGCTGTATAATATAAGGGTTACCTCTTGGGCGAATTATCAGGTACTTGAAGGGCCTTACAAAGGGCTCTCTGAGAAGAGCTCTTATGCAGAGAGGAGAGACTTCAAGAGGGAGAGGGAGGGAGAGAGAGACAGACACAAACCCAGAGAGAGAAACAAGAGACAACAGACACAGAGCGAGAGGGAGAGAGACAAAGAAAGAGAGAGTGAGAGAGAGCGACATACGGTAAACAGGAATGAAGGAACACCAGGAGTGTCTGTGGCTACCTGGTTTGGACAAGTGGACAGTCCAAACAGTCACAGGGTCCAGCACCAAGCCTGGTGCATGCCTGTCATGACTCACCAGCTGCCCAGAAACAGACAAGGCTTGAAGCAGACATGGCTGAGGCCACGCACGACCAACAGCAGGCTGCTCGGCCCACCAGGGTTCCGTTTACAAACTGCACAGCAGCAGCAGAGTCGAGAGATTCGCGCAATCGCAGATTATGCAAGCGGCTGCTGAGTTTCAATCGCGACCACTAAACTAAACCCGTTCATTGTTGAAGAGCAGAGTCCAGAGGCGATTACAAGACAGTGCTTGGGAAGCATCGGTCCTGGATGTAAGCTCGAAAACCCCATGCCCTCACTGCACATGTTTGAATTTAACACCTCAAGCCTGGTTTAAAGCTCAGGGTTTAGACTTTGCGGTCTCACGGAGCCTGCACGTTCTTGAAACCAAGACTGCAGAGTGTGCCGGCTTTGAAGTGCAAGCGAGGGTTACACGGTTACACAAGCCTGAATATGGCTTAAGAAGGTCGATGAGTGTTTATAGAATCCCTCTTCAGCTCAGGGTTTGAAGTGCAGAAGTTAAAGGACATGGCCCTGTATGGCGCGATGCATTACCAAACCCAAGGCATTTTGGAGAAGGAGCCTGAGCCCTAAGATTGTGGGAGACATGTGTGTGTTTAGGGTTTAGGGTTTTAGGGTTTGTGGGTGTGTGTGGCAAACTCTGGTCGCTTGCAGGTTGCTACTGCGGCCTGCTACTGGCTGACAACGCCGGAATTAAACCACTACAGTCTACAGGTCTCAATACAAAGCCACCGGTAGCCGCCCAGTAATGTCTGCTCGAAAACTTCCAAGTAGATCCCTCCATGCTCCCCTTTTTCTGAGCCTTTCTCATCACCATCCTCAGTACGCACAGCACCGCCATCATCCGCACCGAAGCCTAATATAAGAACCTGATTAAGGAACCTCGGGTCATCTTGGGTCCTTGTTACGGCTCTTAATATGAACCCCAATATTGTATTTGGGTTTTAAGGCCAGGGTTTCTTAACCATGTTCCTACATTATGAGGAACCACGGCAAGACGTGCACCTGGTCCTGCGACCAGCCGAAACGGTTTGCCACCCGCGGGACGGTGAGAAGCCTGCAAGTGGTGTGACCCATCAGATGCCCAGGGTCCAGGACTCAGCGTTAAGTTGTGGGTCGGGCTTGTGAAGAGCCCACAGCAAGATTCAGGCTACGGCGTTGCGAATGCCCTTTGATACGAAGCACTGCTCTCCCATTGGGAGTGAGATGCTGTCCTGCTGTATCTACTGTAGGGGCCTGAATAACTGGGAATACCAAATAAACCGAGTATGCGTTGAGGTTTCACGCTACAGTTATCGCAGACTATAATCATTATAATTTATAATCCCGAGACACTTTTTCGGGCCCCTGTATTTCTCTGCACTGACATTGCTGGAGCGAGAAACCTGGATACACGGCTGCTGCGGCGAATCCGAACTGTTCCATGTCCACCACTTCACTAACAGCTACAGCTAGTGTTAGTGTTACCAAAAACTATACAAGTGCGAATGTTACCATGATTGCTGTTCTTCTTACCCGGGCTAAAAAGCGGGTGCTCCTGAGCCCGATTTAGCGATGCTTATTCACAACTGTGCGAGTCTAGTCTTGTGGCAAAGGTTCAGGCCTCGCGTATTCAACGAACTGCTGGCCGATGCCGTACACGCAGATCTTCTCACGCTCACGCTGCAAGCCTTGCGCTCTTGCAATTTGGGGCTCCGTGTTGAAGAATTCACGAACGAGGTTTAGGGATTACACCAGTTGACTACTTGTTCCCACCGCTAATTATGATGTATGCTCCCAGCTGCAAGACATGTCCGTGGCACCCTATATCTTCGGCAGAGCAACAAGTGCTCCCGGCGACATCTGGAACTAACCTGTCTTGGCTCATGCTAGCTCAGCCAGCCTGCAGGCTTTGCAAGCGGCCGATGATTGGCGTCCAAAGACTGAACTCTAAACATAAAAGAGTTATCCTCTTTACGACACCGAGCCGTGCACTCCAAACCCGAAGCTTTACACGTTTAAAGCCCTACGCCAGTGGTCCTCAAAGCCCAAACAACGACTAAGAGCTCTAAGCTTCTGGCTGGTATCCACACGAATGTCGAAGGTCTTGGGTTCGCAGAGCTGCGGCTCGATAGCTGTGGCAACCTTGGTAGGAAGTCCGGCTTGAGGGGGCAGGGGTGTAAGGGCTTCGGAGGACTCAGGGTGTTTTTAGGGCTTAGAGCTCAGGCGTTGAAGGTGTGAGGGCTTTCAAGGGTTCAGGATTCTTGGTCTTCAGGTACATAACTGTCCAGGCAGAACCGCCAAGAGCTGCATGGCTGCTTTGCTTTTCTGCATGAGGTCCCTCGCAGCGGGAAAATCTACGCGATCCTGAAGCCGGGAATCATGATTTGGAAAATCTCAATAGCAGAACCGACAACCCTAACCATTAAAGTGACTGAAAAAGTTGACTAAAGCAAAGGCTCCGGGCTCCCTAAGCCTCAAGTCCAACATTAAACTATAAAACTGGAAACAGGTTGTTCCTTAGAATGGCCCGAAAAAATCCAAACGATCAGTCTGGCCTTTGGGGCTGAGCCCTCTGTGCCTTCCTAAACCCTAAACCCCCTAAACCCTAAACCCCTAAACCCCTAAACCCCCTAAACCCCTAAACCCTAAAGACTCTGATCTCCTTGTTTTAGTTCATGGAGCCGTAGCTGGGGGATGATAGGAGCTTTCTGTGGGGATGTCATACGATAGACTTACGTAGAGGATATACTCGAGCACAAGTACCAATCTCTGAGACCAGTTATACTGTAAATACTTGTATGATGAGATGTACCCGAAAACCCTGTTCGAATTCATGAATACCACTCACACATTCACCCCTCTAACAGTAACAACTCGCGAAACCCTTATGACGCCCATTTAAACCGTATACAAACCCTCTCTGAACCCCATGCAGCCCCATCCCATCAACCTAAAAACCTTAAACTCCCAACCATGAATTGTAGCAAGCTAGGGCCCTGGCGCCCTCCTCGCACATGAGTCCGGCAGGGCAGAGGTCGGATGCCCGTTGCCTCCCACGACCGCCTCAGAAGCGACTGGGAGCTACGAGCAGCATAGGCATCTGAACCACTAGTATATGGTTTTGGTGTGTAGTAGTAGCCGTCGTCGTCGTCGTCGTCGTCGTAGTAGTATCCCTTTTACGGGGCCCAAGAGTTCATGCAGGCATTCTTGAAGATGCTCCCAGTGTGCTCTATATTCGCGGCTGAGAGTATGAAGCTTACCTCACCCGATATGTGGCTGCGCCTACACAAGTTTCTGTCCTGGTGTTGTGGTAACTGGTAAGCCTGCTCAGCCAGCTAGCAAACAACGACGCGAGCAAGGAGGCCATTGCAGCCTGAACCGAAGCTTCTTCATTCCTAAGACACTTCAGTACTGCATGACAGGCAGAGTGCAAAGGCCCTTGCTGCACTCGTAGCCGCAGGGGCACGGCAGAGGCAGGCGCATGCGACTGCGTGGACCTTTGCTGTAGACAGTTTGGATTTGGGAATACCAACTCCATCTACAAACAAGTGAGGTGCGAACACACACCGCCTTCCAGACAAACTGTGCAGTTCCACTGTCCCGGCCAGGGGTTGAAGGAACCTGAGAATGAGATGAAAGAAGCCGCCTTCATGCCATGCAGGCCATGCCGAGAGCTAGAATTCTCGCAGAATCACCGTTCAGGACGGCCTGCAGGACATCCAGTTGGCTCGGTGTTGGCGGGGTATGGGCCACACCTGAAGGAGTGCACTCAGGAGAGTCGCAGCGCCACGAAATATCACAATCGGCATTCCATGTTCAGAAGATGTGCGCCAGGCATGTAGCGCTCCGGGCAAACGATTCCTCAGCTTGCACTGCACTGATATCAAAGAACTGTTGGCAGCAAACCCGCGCCGGAGCAGAGCTAGCTGATAGGCTCGTGGCCAGTGTGCCGTGGCGTAGGGCAGTACTTCCTTGGCGAGCAAACAGTCTCCAGCAGCCAAACTGTACAAGCGCCATCTCCAGGAATCCTAAGATCGTTTTGGGAACCTCCAGACGAAGGAGACTGCCACAAGTAATATCGCATGAGCAAACGAGGACAGCAACGCATCTCCGTCAATGCAGTGACGATCACGAAAAAAGAAGAGCAATCACCGATCCCCCAACTAGCCTCGATAATCTCGACATGGGCAGTATTGCAAACACACATGGAAGCGATCATGCTCATAACATTAATGACCTTCCTCACGCACGTCTTAGTAGATGTGCTGCTACAAAGCTCGAAAATGGTAATAGCCTGAAGAAGCAAGCCTGATGAATGGATTTGGTGTGATCAGCTTACAGCAGATTCCCAAGTGGGCACATCAACCGTACTGTTTCTGCACTCAGGGACAGATTTAATCATGCTCGTCGCACAACGACGTGCGGCTACGAATCTTGGGCAGATCCCTCCCTAAGTAGGATACCATGAAATTAACTTCAGCTAGAGATTGACACAGCGATTTTTGGCTTTATTTACTGGGTTATACACACAGGAATAAGGGAAAATCAGGGCGACTTACTGCAGATACCAACACTGAGCTCTACTCATCCATAGGCCCGAGACAAGTCCCCAAAAGGACCCCCGAATCACTGCATAGTCTCCACATACCACTCGACACACTTATGCAAAGGTTCAAGCACATGCGTACAAGAGCCAACAACCCATCCCAGCATGTCCATAGCAACGGAGTTAGAGAAAACGTGCTACAACAAGACACAGTATTATTATTAGATGAGTATCCACTATTCGGATACTTTAGACCTGCTCCATATTTGGGTGCCCTTTGCATGCTGCCGACAAGCTCATGACCTGCGCTAGCAAACACTTGGCCTTTGGCCCCGTTTTGGTACACAAGTGGCAAACACTCGCTGAAGGGGTGTACCCAAATCCAGAGCCCGAAAGCAATATGGCATACCCGCATAAACATCGACTCGAGACAAGACATTGCGATTCAGGCAACTGCGTAGTACTTGGATGCTCAGCATCAGCTTTTCGGTTCGCAACACTGGGGGTGTCCAGTAACCCGCCTGCTGTTTTCAACACAGCCCATCATCGCGCTTGCGATACAGTATAGATATTGCCATCACACTCGGTCTATCTGTCTTGTGCTGCTGCTGGCACCGAAACTCTCAATGCACAGTTACTGGTGATAGTGGAACGTTGTTTCTGTGTGTACCCGAATTATGGCAGACCATCAGGTCACTCTTGGACCTATGGTCGTCATATCCGACTCCCACGTCGCAAGCTCCCGGGACATGGCCATGAACAACCGTACAAGGATACGGCGTGAGATGTCACATAAGTAGGATCGGACATGTGCCACCCCTCTCAAATTCGCCAACTCCGGCGGAATCCCAGCATCGAAGCAACACGTGGTCACGGTGACTCTGGGGCTTCTGAAATCGTGCCAATGTGCAGCTTGCCATCCTTGAATGTACCCTTCTCCTGCCTGCCATCGGCGTGAGCCAAATGTCCCTCGCCGTGAAACTTGCCCTTGACAAATAGGCCGTCGTACTTAGCACCAGTAGGCAGTATCAGGCGCCCCACGCCATGATACTGGCCCTGACGGAACTGGCCTGTGTACTGCTCGCCATAAGGCAACTTCTTGGTGCCCTGACCCTCGAACAACCCCTGCTCGAAAGTTCCTTGGTACTCCCCGCCGCTGGGCAGTTTCAGCCATCCTTGACCCTGAGGTTTGCCCTCGACGATGCCGCCCAGAAACCACATGCCGTCAGCTGACATACGAATCCCATGACCATTGTGCAAGTAGCCATTCTTGAACTACCCCGTGGACTTCTCGCCGCAAGCATGAAGTATTCCACCCTGGCCATGGAATCGACCACTTTCAAACTCCCCATCACAGACCGAGTTTCCGTTGGCCTCGGGAAAAGTCAAGCGCCCATGACCATGGTACTTGCCTTCCATAAACTCACCTTCATATTGGTGTTTCCCAGCCGAGTCCGTGTAGGTCAAGCGACCCTGGCCGTGGAAACGTCCCCCTTGTTGTTGTCCTACTGTGATGTACTATAGAGCATGCTATACTCTGATATTTATACTGTATACTATACCAGAGTGTCCTATACTATATCATCCTCCATTATCTATACGGTACTATACCATGCTATACGATACTGTACTGCAATGTATTGCAAAGTGATGTACTACATCATACCCTCCCGTGCCGCGAAGTACTGTACACTGCAATATGCAAAACTCGAGCAAACTACAGCACAACGTAGTATAATGCAAGAAATGTCGGTAACATACCGCAACATGTTAAACGCATTATACATGGACGCAAAATAGATACTTCAGTATAACGTAGCATTTTACAACCTAACATAACACAATGTAATGTGATAAAATAGAATATAGCAGACTACAGTAAAATAGAGTCAAAGCTGTATAATTAATTATACTCCAACATGAAAATGAGTTGTTCTGATACAGAAAAAGACAATGTGGCAGAATACAATGGCACCTAAATTGTATTTTGTTTGAGTTCCGCATACGAAGCGATGTAAGATAATGTAACGGCTCCAACGCGGAGGTCATGACCCCTTATAGTACATTCTATACATCGTATAAAATAGTGTAGCATATTTCAATATGGTAACGTGCATAAGTCGCAATTCAGTATAGTGCAAAATCATATCATATGTAACGACATATGATGACACCCAATGCCATGCAATATAACAAGATACCATACCATGCCATATCACACAGTGTAATATAATGAATATGCCAAAAGACATAGAAACATATCGCATAGTGTAGTGGAATATGACAGCTTACAGTACAATACGATATGATCTAGCAAAGTACAATATGAGATAATAACATAAGACAACATAAACCAATCTAGCATAAAATGATATGACAAAAGGTGTTACGCCACAATCAGATACTATAAAATACATGTAAATGTGCAATAAGACAGCATATTACATAACACAACAAAAATATAATGCACAGGTGTAGAACATGAACGAACATGCAGCATGACATGATGCAAGATAAGATAATATATGCTGAGATGAGAAAGCATAAGATTATTAGAATGTCATACTGAATACACTACGACAATACCATACCATGAAATATGATGTGACATGTCGCAGAACAAACGAAAGACTTATGGTACAGCATAACACAAGATGACATAACCTACAAAAAAAGACCAATGGAATACCCGAGTCTGTCCTGCATACTCATACTCTTTGCGAGGCTCCTCGATGAAGCTGTCATGATGGCCATGGGCATAATCCCTCGCCCCCACAGCCCTGTAAACCATGTTGACATAGGCCTTGGCACGATGTTCGTTCTGTGCTGCCATGAAACCGTTCCATTCCACAACGCCAAGATAGGTGTCACTAACGGAAGGGTCTCTCGGCCGATGAGTTTCAAGCATCCTCTTGGCAGCTGTGCGGCCGATATTTTCGTAGCCACCACCGGGGTTCAGGAGACGCGTTGTGCAGAGCGGAGCATAGACGCCGAGGCCCATATCTTGTTTCAACAAGGTCCCAAGATCCAATGGCAATGGAGCAGCACCAAGGTCAAGAAGCATCCTCACGGCGAAGGGCACACGGTCCCACATTTTCTGAATGAAACCCACATTGCCTGGCAATCGTGGCACAAGGTCATTGTTCCGCACGTAGTTGGTGCACCGACGCTCCATCCCTTGCAGAGCGTCGGCTTGCGCCAGCAGCACACCTGGGGCAGCTTCCTCTCTGTTCTCCCGATGAATCTGCTGATGACTTGTCGGACTGAACGGCTGCGGGGCTGCCACGGTGATGCACTGCAGCCCAGAAAGCAGCTTACTGACCTTGGGGTGCCTCCATAGCTTGTCGTCTGTGTAGGCCAGCAAGGCCGCTACTTGAGCTACCGCTCCGCCTAGGCTGTGGCCAGTAAAGAGGATGGTATCCAGTCCCGTGCCCGAGGCCTCTTCTAAGATGGCTGACCTCAGTCTGTTCACATACTCTGGGTATGTGGCCACTGCCTTCCAGCCAGCATGCACCCCTATGCCGATATCCTTGAACTTGTCATAGTCCGGCAAGGCACCAGCGTTGGCAATCCAGTCCTGCGCCGTTGTAGTCCCACGGAAAATCACGGCCAGAATTCGGTAAGATTCTTCCGCTCCTTGCAGGTCTACAAACAGACTGTCGCATCTCAAACTGGACGTCCCCGTGGGCTCGATGCGGGAGGCGAGCGTGTATGAGAGGTTGACTCTGGACTCATTGATGTCGAGCCAAGGTGGCAACTGATGCACTGAGGCGTCCCCATCATAGATCCACTCCGACAGCCGCGCTGCAAGGGCATGCAGAACAGCTACAACGACGGCCCTCATGGCACGATAAGGATGTAAGTCGCCACAAGGTGCGGAAAAGAGCAGGTTCAACTTGAGCCGGCAGCTGGACAAACACATACAAGTACTCCCCCTAATCACCGTCCTCACCATCATCACCACATCATCGTCGTCGCCACTGCCATCCCTTCGTCGTCCTCATCATGCTCATCTAACCGTCATCATGATCACTGTCACCCTGTGTAGACCCCACATGCTGCTACCAAAACCGATCTGCTCATCCTCACAATACACGCAGGAATGGCCAGCAGCTGAGACGGTCACCCCAAAGGACATGCTCCGGCACCGTATGGTGAATCGCTCGAAGGAGGGCAAAAGAAGCCTCAAACGGGGCACGGTGCGTAGAAACCGATAAGGATGTACATGAAGGGAGCCTTGAGTGTGCCTAAATACACGTAATTACGTATATGTATGTGTGTGTATGTATGTATGTAGGTATGTGGGTATGTAGGTATGTAGGTATGTAGGTAGGTATGTATGTATGTATGTGTCTATATATATATATATACATATATATATATGTATATATATACATATATATATATACTGATTGTGTTGTTACAGTATTATAATTATCATTATGATTGTTATTGTTGTTGTTATTGTTATCATAGATATTGTTCGTATCATGTTTATTGCTGGTAGTTAATGCATTTACATATACATATACGTGGTACCCCCCTTGAACTCCGACCCTCGTTTCGTATCGTAAATACCGCGTCAAACCAGCTTTTCCGGCAGGTCCGGATTCCGTATCTTTCAAAGACTACCAAGGCCAAACCCACATTTCAACAGAACGTGCTAGACAACTCGTTCAGGTTTTATTCTCTTAGGGAGATTCAACTGAACCAGTTCAACCATCTTGTAGGCAACTATGCGGCCAAACTTTTGAAAGTTGTGTTCTTTGGATTTCCCTAGGCCCTAGGCAAATTGGTTTTGGGGTGAAAAACCATCTTTTCTAGGAAAAAAATGGTTTTGGACCGGACAATCAGATTTTTCCTAGGAGAAAACCAGACAAAACAACAACAACAATTTTTGTGGAAAACCATACGGCCAAAATCCAACAAGATTGTTTTGTTATTTTCCCTAATTTAGTTTTTCATACGAAAACCATTTCTTTCTAGTGAAAAGCAAAAAAACATTTTGGACTTTGGCCGTATGGCTTCCCCAAAAATGTGTTTTGTGTGCTTCTTTGGGTTTTCCTAGGACAAATTTGGTTTTCCGGTCCAAGACTATCTTTTTTCCTAGGAAAAGATGGTTTCTCAACCCAAAAGCAACCTGTTCCTAGCAAACAGTGTGTATTTTGTTGTTTGCACGTGTTACGAGTTAGTGTTGCCAGCAAGGTTCCAGTGTCATACATATATATATATATACATATTATATATTGCTCTTACAGATTAAAAACAAATATAAGTATAAATGTATATGTGTATACATATATATATATAGACACAAAAAATATGCTTGTGTATATCGGTGCGCATCACTTTTAGGGTGCAGGCAACCCCAAAAAGTGCAGCTTGTAGGAATCCCCTGCTAGAGCCTCGGGGCGAGGTCCGACATATCAGGGCCTCGATGTAGATCGCAGTGAGGATGACTGTAATGTAGAATACAGTAGAATACAAAGCAACAGAGGCGTTTAAATAGTATATTCCAAAGCATAACCTGCGGGCTTGTGGTTGAGGCTTGCATGCCCAGAATTCCTTCGCAGGGGGCCGAAGATCCACATGGCAGTATCTCCGGGTTTGGGATTTACGGCTTGGGGCTTTAGGTGCCATGTTTCAGGAGGAAGCGATTGTACTGAAGACAGGGCGCTCTACTGGTAGACGGGCTTCTCATTCACAGAATGCCTGAGAAGCCTCAATCGAGTTATGCCTCCAATTCTCAGAAGATACGAGCCCCGCACGCCTATGCTACTCATGCAAGCAAAACAAACCCCAAATCTGCGAATCCCTACATCCAAGACCCCAAACCGGATCAAAGCATTGTTCACCAAGTGTTGGTTCGACCTCTTGGGGCATCTTTCGCTCTGCTCATCGACCACGGAGCTGGACTTCAAAAGTCGGAGCGCAAGCTCCCTCAAGCCGCCTGCTTCACAGGCGCGCAGCGCCGCTTTGTAGCTGGCCAAATCTGGGGTGACTTTGGCCAAGGGCATTGACTCGAAGAGTTGCAGGGCAAGCCTGGGTTGTAGTTGAAGGGCCTACCAAAATTAATGTATGAATCGGAACAAGACCTTTAACATATTTAGTCTTGAGATTGTGATATGTGGGAAATCAAAAGCGTGCCAAAGTACAACCTGGTCACTGCCATTGCCTGCCTTGCTCAAAGGAGCTGATGGTTCCATTGTAGGTCGTGCTGTTCGGGGCGAGCCTCCTTCCCGGCATTGCAGCGAAGAGCGATAGTGCCACTTGCCAGTGCCCACCGGCTTCACAGGAGCTAATCGCAGCACTGTAGCTTATTACATTGGCCATGATGTTCGCTTCCGGCATAGAGTGCAGAACATTCAGCGCCAGTGGCCACTGTTCCCCCCTCGCACATGCACTGATGGTTGCGTTGTATGCAATGGCATCTGGAGCAAGCTTAGCTTGCGGTAATGAACCGAAGAGATGAAGTGCTGCGGGCCATTGGTGGCCCTTCTCGCAAGCACTGATCGCTGCACTGTAGCTCACGACGCTCGGGGTGACCGTAGCCTTCGACATACTACCTAGCAGGCACAAGGCAACTTGCCACTGCCCGCTCTTCTCACAGGCACTGATGCTAGCACTGTATGTAACGATGTTCGGCTGAAGTTTGGCTCTTGGCATGGCGCTCAGCAGCTGCAAGGCATGCTGCCACTGAACACCCTTCTCACAGGCACTGATCAGAGCGTTGTAGAGGATGCGGTCTGGTGCAATGGATTGTGGCATACTGCGAAAGAGCTGCAAAGCAGCTTTCCACTGCCCAACTTTTTCGCATGCGCTGATGGTGGCACTGTACGTGATCAGGTTTGGAGCAACCTTTGGTCGAGGCATGGAATGAAAGATGTCCAGCGCCAGTTGCCAGTGTCCCGCTTTTTCGCAAGAGCTGATTGTTGCGTTGTAGCTGGCTGTGTTTCGCGCAATCTTCGCCTTGGGCATGGATGTGAACAGCTCCAAGGCCCACTGCCACTGCCTGCCCTTCTCGCAGGCACTTATCGTCGCATTGTAGCTGAGGACGTGGAGCGTTAGCTGGTGCCTTGAGATGGACTGAAAGACTTCCAGAGCTTTCTGCCACCACTTGGCTTCAGCACACGCTGCAATCGTGGTGACAAAGTGCATGGGGCTCAGCTTCATATTGTCTTCCTGAACAAGGTCCAAGATGTGACATGCCAGATCGGCACGGTTCTGAAACTTGAGTTCCTGTAGAATCTGGACTAAAGCACCCGGGCTTCGGCAATAGGCTTGCAACTGCGGGGCAAGTGCTTGTCGTACCTGGTCCCTTTTCGGGAGCTTCTGAAGCTGAAGCAGGCGCTGCATCCATGCAGTGATTTCCTCTAGTAGCTCTATGACTCCTGTCTGCATGTCGGCCCTTTCTGGGATCCTTCTTCCGACTGACTCTTGTTTTCAACAGGCATGCAAATTAGAAATCGGCACACATCTCATGCTTGAGCCATAGAGCTGCTGGGCGAGATGCAGGTTCTTGCTGAAGGTGCATTTGCTGCTTCACCAACGCACAGCAATGGTGTTCTGATGAATCTCCGACGGAGTAAGTCCTGCACCGAAGCACGCAATAAACGAATGAGAGCCGTGCTGTCAAGACCAATGATCACACCAACACCATGGCAATGGAACTAAAGACAATGAACACATCAGCGACGTCGCGCAGAACAACTGCATCAGCAGCAGGAAAAGTCAGGGCAGCAGCAGCAGCAGCACTGAAACAGGATTAGGCCAACTCATAACCAGAACAGTAATGATGGTGACAAACATCATAATTACAAAGAATGAGAGTGATAATCAGAATCGTCATAGGCGTCATAGGATGATTACATGTACACATATCATCGACCCGAGGATTCCATGCATACATACATACACACATACATACATACAAAACACTGGCTCTAAGGCTCCACCGAACGGGGAGTAGCCCTACATTATAACCTAGCCCATCAGAGCCCCCAGGACAAAGACACCGGGCCTTGAAAGCAGGGCTGAGGCGTGGAGTAGTTCGAAGGCTTGGGATTGGGAGCTTGGGCTCCCTCGAAGCAGTGGAGCCCCGGCGGACCTGTGTTTGTCGGCGTTCGTTGCTATCTGTTTTTCAGTCTTATGTGAAGGGTTTAGGATTTAGGGTTTAAGTGTTCCTTTGTTTGAGGGGCAGGGGGATAGCTTTGGGTCTAGGATTGTGCCTTTTGTTTCGGAGGCTGGGGAGTGGTTTGGGTGGGTCTTGTTCTGGGAATTCGATACAAGGAACCAAGGCCTGCAAGGACGCAGGATCATACGGGATTTAGGCTTGGAGCTGGGGCCATGGGCATTGAGTCTTAGGCTCCATCTCTTTAGAGTGCGGTGAACGCTTAAACAAAAGTGATCGAGTTGGCACAGGCACTTCTGCTTTGGCGGCCTACAGATTCAGGTGGGCAACTAAAGTAAGGTTTGTCAGTGAATTGGGCTCCAGGAAAGAGGACACTCAGAGATCACATACATTGAAAGTTCTGTGGGGTTTTTTCTCTTGCGAAGCGAATAGGACAATACATTGGCTAGAACAGTCCCACTGGAGAGGAGGACACTGCGACTGCCAAATCTAGTTCTGAAAGGTTGAGTGGAAGTGGCATCATTCACTATATCCGAAGATTTCCAGCACATACACAGCTCTTAGCTTCGGAGGATAAGTTTGTAAGTGAAACCATTTGGTTCTTTAGTAAGTACTAGTATCCCTCGAGTAGAAACCAGAATGAGTGCACCAATTCTCCTTCCTAAAACCCTAAACCTGAAACTTGAATCGCTCAACACCCAAACCCTGCGCAAGCAGAAATCCACAGCCTTCGTCCCTAAGCCCGAAGACCTAAATCCCTACACCGGCAAAATCTCTAAAGCCCTAAATTCCTACACCCTCAAAACTTCTAAGCTCCAAACCTCTCAGCTCTTAACAAAACAAGTCTCTCCGGGCACAGGGCAAGGTTTCGGCTTGCGACGGTCCAGGTAGAGCCTATTGTGAGGGTCTGGGACTGTGGAGTTTAAGGCTTCGGACCTGGAGTCTGAGATCTCAGGGAGCAGGGGCCTGTGATGCCGAAGCTGTTCAGTTCTGATGCTGGGCATCATAGGAGCATGGTGCCGCGCTAGCCACATCTTCGCTGCCGCAATTTCCGCTACAGTTCATCATTACAGCGAGCCCTAGATAACTTTATTGAGGCAACTCAACGATCGCCGGAACAGGCACGGTTGATCGATACTGGCCCGAACCAAGCTTTGCTTGAAGGTGAAACTTTTCAGGGCGGTTTCCCTCGACGGGTGCAGTCGTCTGCAGCTTCTTCCTATTTCCATCATTCAGGCTAACATGAACCACAAAGGCTGTGAACTATGCCATTACGAATGAAGGAAGATCCATGCAGTACGTCAGCTTGCTGAGATGACGGCGTGCTGCGCGAGAGCCGCGTTGCGACGCCTTCTTCACCTTGCACATAACTTCCTCTGTTGATAGAGCTTTGCTAGGCAAACGATAAGCGCTCCTTGTAAACATGTGCATCGTGCGCTTTGTCAGTGTCAGAGTCCGCCGGACAGTCTTTTTTCAGCACAGCAGCTTCGTACAAAAACATCTTTCGAAATCTAATGTGAGATGACTCTAGAATTCCACTCTATCACCATAAACCGCCCAACATCGCCTCATATCGAGCGAACTAAGCTTCCCACAGTAGAAACCGGCAGGGCACCGTTTGTAAGGCACCACCAATCCTGCCATGCGTTGGGCAGAGGAAACCATGCTAGGATCCTTAAAATTCCATGTTGACCTACCGGAGATGACGACTTCCCGCACGAGTTTTGCTCTTCAGCTACTTCTGGAGCTTAAAGGGTTGGAGAGTGGCTTCGAGGCATATTCATGACGGCAGTATGCAGGCGCAGCTTCAACATTTTAAGTCTCCTAGCATTATAAAGTTTCATTTGCCATCATAGTTGTATAGGCAATTTCAGCCATACATTTGGATAGTGTAATGATCATCACAACAGTAGCTGATGATGGCAAGACTACCGACAAAACACACGTAGGTGCCCCGAGCATTTGCCCCCTTATGCCCCCCTATACTGAAAGGACACCGAGAAGGGGGACCCCTTGAATCTGATGAAAGTCCCACCTGGCTCGTCGCAGACCCATCCTCTCCGGCAGCCAATGGGCTGGAACATACGAGAGCGCGGGCCTGGGAAATAGAGGGTCAGAGCGAGCTAGGGCTTCAGAGTTTGGACTTTGTTTAGCTGCTGATTCCTCACAAACCTGAGCCGAGGCAAAGGCACCAGAAGCCGATAGGGCACAGCTGGCACTGAACCTTCCGGCTCAGCCGCGTAGGCTGTTTTTCAGTTGCGGATTGACGGCTTTTGGTTGCAAACCCGCCTGACGCCTGTAGGGCATGAAGCTGCCTGAGAGATCGAAGCAGCACAGGAGTCGGGAGAGAAAGGCTCAGACATCTACAAGCTTAGACAAAACGTTCTTGCAAAGGGTGTGAGTTGCGACAGCTCGCGCAGGCTTGTGCATAGCTACTGCATTAGACACTTTAAGGTGTTATCTGTCCAGCAGGTACGCCATGCCCTTTCTTTGTATGCCCTCGTGCGCCTGGTGGACATGGGGTCGGCACACCTCGGCAATGAATCAAACGCCTCAATCGCCAGCCGACCTTCTTGGACCACGATCAGCTGAGTCGGCTGCTCATCCCGGCACTCTCACAGAAGTGTCCAGCGGGGCACGGCAGCAGCCGGAAGGTGTACCTTCGAAGAGAGTGTCGGAGGGGGCTGTGGGTTCCCAGCGTGCTTCTGTTTGGCACTGGCTCTGCAGCCAAGCATGGAACAATAACACAGACTTGCAGTACTCTGCATTTCTTGCGCGCATGGTGTGCAAATGGCTCAGGGCAGAGCTCATTGAAGGCTCTGTGCTGGCAGTAGTGGCCAATGGGGCACTCACCTCGAGACATGTACTGCAACTGGGCAAGACACTTCCTGCAACATTCGCCCCTGTTCCAGAAAACCCATAATAACCCAACAATAATCCAACAACAATATTAATAACACTAGGAATAATCGCAAGACAAATGAAGAGTTAAGACAATGTTAGTAATATAATCAGAAGACTGCCAGCCGCTGGCTCGAGGGACATTGATGCTTATGCGATCGCAAACTGAGCAAATTCGATCTGCTGGCTTGCGTTCGCTGCAAAACCATGCTACACCAATCTACTGTCTACTACTGCTGTACATACCTCAACCATTGTGTCACACTTCCTTCAAAAGTCCCCGAAGCCCCAGGAAGCCTTTTGGAAGTTCTGGATTTGAAAACGGCTTCTGCTCTGGACGGGCCCCGGCCCAAGAATCGGAAAGACAAGCTGGTGCGCGACCTTCGCTTCTCGAGAGGCTCCAAGGGCGTGTCATGACGATCGATGATTGTGTTACTGCTGGTACTGGAACTAGATTGTCGGCAACTACTAGAGATCATACCAACGCTGACCCCCCCCCCCAAAGAACAAAAAGCAAGTCCAAAATCCGAAGCTCGAGTTTGCAAACTCGAGAAGTCGATTTTGAGGCTTCATAAGATGATCCTGCATGACGAAAGTGCTACAAATACCGAGTAAAGTGGATGTTGTCTCAACATGGGCAAGTGTAGTTGGTGGCGGGGTGCCACGTAGTAGAACCAGTACTGCTAGTACTACGGGCACTGCCACTAACTAGTACTGCTACTCCTCCTCCTCCCACCACCACGACTACTACTACTACTACTACTACTACTAGTACTACTACTACTACTCCTACTCCT